TTTAAAGGAGTAGAACTCTTTTGATTTCACTATAGGCTTAAGTGCAGTTATACTACAGGAGATGAACCTTTATTTTTTTTGGAGATGGTTACAGGTATTTGAACCAAAATTTAACTTAAATCTGGACAAAAAAAAAGAATTGAGCATCCAGTTAAAGAGTGGAGGACGTTCTTTTTTTCAGGTGGATCATCAAAATAATTCGTCCTCCTAATTGTCGATCATTCTGGTGATATGTTTACGTAAGGCAGACCTTCGTGCTGATCCTTATAGTAGCTAAGTTGCGAATCTTCTTTTAAAAATAAGCTTGAGCGATGCAAACAGCAAGTTTTACACAGAGCCTGAGGAGAAATGCGGTCGTGCATGCTCAAGAGGTGTTTAGTCCCTCAGTGAGGTCTAGAAGCACTAGATCTACATCCAGCCTTTCAGCAAAGATACTGCTACATGGCTCTACATCTTATTTTGGCATTTGGCCGATTAAATGAGCCCTTGAATGATATTTTACCTACTGGAAATTAAGTTGAAAAAAAGTAAACAAGCCAAAAAAAAAAGGTAAAAAGCTAATTGAAAACTTAAAAAGTAAGTAATAAGCCTCGTTAACAGTTATATTTAAGGTTAATAAACCAGTATCAGCATTAATGCCTCTAAGGTTATGTTGTACCAGAAAAAAAAATGTGTTTCTTTTACTTTCAGTGTGTTTTTCATGAATTTCTTACAGAAGCACTGTTGTTATTTCTCTTAATATATTTGGGCAAATTGTTGTTTCTTGTTATAACATTAACATTAATATATGCAAATATCCATATGTTTTAATTTTACAAAGGTCATAAGGTCTTGTCCTGGATTCCAATAACACTATTGGCAGGAAATTTTGATTTTCTTTTCAAAAATTTGCGAAAATCCTCCTCTATACCTTTAACAATGTTCATTTAAACCATATGAATAACATACAAAGCATCACCTGATTCTAATGGAACCTGCTGGAGCTGTGGGATCTCCTCCGCCAGTGTGCTGCAGTAGGCATGCAGTCCTCTGTGAGCCGCCAGCAGAAGGCGACAGAGCCTCCGATGCCACGTATGGGCTCTCTGCAGGCAGTTTTCACTGGGCACATAAAAGCTTCCCTGCAGGTACAGAGACAGGACAGGAAATAAGAGCTGCTGCACGCTAAGCATTCAGCTCTTATTAGCAGACACGCTCACAGGCTTTAACAGCCCAACCGCAACAGTTCTGCACCAGCAGTAACACAATCCTGTTTCAGAGTCGCATCAATAATAGGGAGCTATTTGGAAACAAATGGCCCTTAAACACAGTGAGGTATAAAAGCAGATCAATACATTTTTTGTGGAACATCTCCGTAGAGAACTCACTATATTAGGTTGCAAAGCATGTCAACTGAAGTGGGTGCTTGTAAAAAGGACTGAGGAGCAGCAATGTCTGTCAAACAGTGTTTATTAAGGGTAAAGATCCTATAAAGAACCATAAGATTGTTGTTTTAAATGGTTAAAAAGAAAACATCAATCCATATGAGAAACGATGGGAAGCTCTCAGACATTGTTGCCCAATCTTTTAGCCTTTCTTCTATGAGCTGTAATGTTGACATTAAATCCACCAGATGGCAGCCAAACAGAGCAATTGAAGTGATTTCTTGCCTGTGTTTTGTTTCTTTTATTATCAACCCTTTAACACCAGCTTTTATTCCCATTTATGTTCCAAACACAAAATGAAATACAGCCTTTTTCAGATATAATGTAAATTCTGAAAGACTCCTCAAAGTGTCCAAATACATATATTAGTTTGTAAAAAAATATTACATAAAAAAAACCTAAAAGATATGTAACATTTTTATTCAGACACTAAATTTTCTGAATGCTTTAGCAGCTGTGGGGGTTCCAGTTGCTAGGATTCACATGCATATAATGTCACATCTAACAGGAAGTGTATTGTACACTTGCAAACTTAGGAAGATGGTGGTCTACCTAAGCCGACCTTACTCTGTCCTGTGTTTTATGAATAACTGTAAGATGTGAACAAAGCATAGTGGTTGGTTGATCCCCTACTTATGCCACAGTATGCCAGTAGTAGGGTATGCAGTACTGTAGGGTGACCAGATTTGGGTTTCTGAAAAGGAGGACACATTTTTTTTTTAATTTTAATTTTTTTTTTTTTTTGGGGTGGGGTGGGAGTCTACTGTCGTACTCAGTGATTGCGACAAAAAAAAATATAGTTTTTATGTTAATTCATTAAGTTTTAGGGATAATTAATGACCAGTTAGTTATTCCTTGCTGACCGGACTTTTCCTTTAAATGAAATCCAAGATGTGGAAGAGCTGCTGATATTGGACCATAGAGCAACATTAAACACTGTTGATAACTCCTTTTTATCAGAGCATTTGGAAAACTGGGTCAGTTTCAGGTCGAGTACTGGACTGGTTTAAATCTAATATAAAGCACATTTACTTACAAACCGAAAGAAAAAAGTGTAAAAAAAAACAAGGATAAATTCTACGCCCGCAAGAAACCCTAAATTGTAATTGAATTGGCAAAGTGGTTAGAGCAGTGCGCATGTGCTCTGAGATGGTTGCAAGTACCCGGTTCGATCCCCACAGCCTCCACTCTTCGTTACTCAGCAAAACCCTTAACCTCACACCGCTCCCCGGGCGCCAAACAATGGCAGCCCACTGCTCCCCAAGGGGGATGGGTCAAAGGAAGAAACTGAATTTCCCCATAAAGGGATTCACATTACAGAAATGTTTGTATGTAATCAGAATAAGTTACTAGTATGTAAATTAATAAAATGTCAAATTACATGATCCATCCATCCATCCATCCATTTTCTGTCACGCTTATCCTAAGTGGGGTCGCCAGGGCTGCTGGTTCTAATCTCCAGCTATCTACGAGCGAGAGGCGGGGTCCACCCTGGACAGGTCGCCAGTCCATCACAGGGCAACAAAGAGACAAACAGGATAAACAACCATTCACACACATGCTCACACCTAAGGAGAATTTAGAGGAGCCAATTAACCAAACAGTCATGCTTTATGGACTATAGGAGGAAGCCTGAGTACCCGGAGAGAACCCATGCATGCTCAGGGAGAACATGCAAACTCCATGCAGAAAGAGCTGGGGGGGAATGGAACCCTGATCTTCTTGCCTGAAGGCGGCAGTAAAAAGTGCTACCCACTGCGCCACTAAGCAGCCGCCTTATAACATCATTATATAGCTTTATAAGCTATGTTTAAATGGTGTTAGAATCACAATTAAAAATGGTCTTTATCTCTATAATCGCTAAAAACAAAATAAAAAAAATCAATAAATATCAGTGGATATGAAAGGTGTATATCATGATACGTTTTTCAGCCCTAGTTGGTCTGCAACATAAGATCTCAATAATATGACCTGTTATATACACTCACCGGCCAGTTTATTAGGTACCCCATGCTAGTAACGGGTTGGACCCCCTTTTGCCTTCAGAACTGCCTCAGTTCTTCGTGGCATAGATTCAACAAGGTGCTGGAAGCATTCCTCAGGGAGTTTGGTCCATA